TTTTTACAAATAAACATATAAAAATTATGCTGAAAAAATGGAAAAAAAAAGTCATTTTTGATAAAAATGTTAGTTACAACCCTTTTTTTGCACCAAGGCATCGATTTGTTTAAGAATAATTAGTCATTTTTATTTCTTTTTTTAGACACAATACCCGAGAGCGTACATTTTTTGGAATTTGAAAATCCTTTGCTATTTTCAGTTTTAGTTTTTCTCCCTTTTCTCAATTTCTCGTAAAATATCATATTTTTTTTTGGGTTGTAGAGGGGGAACAGGGTATAGTGTTAGTCATGGCCACGCAACGATCACCTGTGTTGTAATTGAGAGGTCTGAAGTTCAAAACCCTCTCTTATCTTGAAGATTTTTCAGGTTTATACGGGGAAGTCAAAGACCGGGCCCGCAAAGCGGGTCCGGGCTTTGGCTTGCCCGGCTATAGACTACACGTGTATATTTAAAAAAAGAAAATCAAATAAAAAAACAATTAAAAAAATATATAGAATTCTATACCTATCAATGAAATTTTCAAAGTGTCAGTTCTAGTCGGGCGCGGCCATTTACAATGTAACTCAATGATAAAAGGCGGGGTATTCCGATAATGGAACAAATCTCAACTTTTCGGATAAATAAATAAACGTCAAGCGGTACCACTAAAATACGCAACGGAGATTTTTTGGCGGCAACGGACGCAACGGAGATATTTTTTTTAGAAAACCCGGCACCAACGCCTTTTTCAAAGCAAATGTGCTATATTTAAGCATCTAAAATGATTGTTTTAGCACTATTAAGTAAGTATGTTTTAAAAATGTTTTCATAAAAATTGTATATGTTTACACTGAAGGATTATATATGCATGGCGAAATGGAAATTTCATGGCGCAACGGAGATAATTTTGGAAAATTGGCACAACGTATGTACTAATATATGAAATTAATTAACACCAATGTTATTTGAATAAATAAATTAAAAAAAAAAATATTTAAAAACCTTAATCATATATCAAATAATCAAATAGCTGCAATGTTGATGTTGTAAAGGATAGTGTGCCGGCGAAATGGACATTTTGTCTGCGCAACGGAGATTTTTTTTTTTTGGCGCAAACGGTATTTATAAAAAAACAATGTTTGTGTCCTAATTAAGTTGTAATATGAAGAAGTAAATCATTAAAGATAAATTAACTGAATTACTGAAGTGGTGTAATAAAAGTCTGTTTTATTAATTTAAAATGGAATTAAATACGTTTTTATCGTTATGGCTGACACTTTAAAACAGTAAAAAACATAAAATAAATAAATTGAACCTTACTTATAAGAATTCCTTCCCCAATCAGAAAACCCCGTTAAAATCAAATGCAGCTACTGTTTATTTAGCGAAACAACAGCAAATATGGTGATTTGAAGAATGTTTATCACGGGTGTTAAAGTTACCGATAATTAAATTACCAATGACACGTGGTTGATGTTTATTGGACACGCGTTTTCACACCATTTAGATAATGTGATTAAGAGGAACATGTATTGACTTTAAGGTATTAAATATTTTTCTATAACTTGTTATTGTCGAAAATATTGCTTTTGAAGCTTATTACGCCAATATTTCACTCAAACTATGAGAAAAAATGTGTATATGAAATGTGAGACGTAATAAAACTTTTTGGAGTCTGAATCCACCACTGATGACGGTCAAGTTTTCTATTTACAAGTGTTTAAAAACATTATTAAACACCCGTACCATTCACGTGCACAATACGTTGCTAATTGCTAACAATTCTCGTGTAATTGATTACCTTTTGTCAATATCATAATTATGAAATATTTGGATTGCTTTTGATGAAATATACAATGTATACGTAACAAACAATTATTGAAAAAGTACACGATGATTAATGAAAGATAATAAATTAATAAAATAATATAATATGATTAAACTGTTATGATAATCCCCGTTGCGCCGAAATGTGTCCATTTTGCTGTTATTTAAATATCTTTTACAATATCATATTTTCAAAACATTTTCTAAAATAAAGGAAAGTAAATCATTTTTTAAAAAAGACTTACTTATTATTCTCAAATTCTTAAGTTATGTTCAAACATAAGATCTACCCGTTATGCAAATCTTCATTTTCCGTTGCGCCGAAATTTATGTCCATTTAGAATCTGATATATTCATATTCTACCTAATAAATCAAACTTATACAGTATATGTAAAAATGTGTATAAAATATCAACATTACCAACGATTATATATGATTATTTTATGTTTTAGACATAAAAAAAACAGTACACAGTTTTGAAAATAAAATCTCCGTTTCGCAATAATCCATCGGCGCAACGGAGTTTATGAAAGGTATAACAACAAGAACAATGAAATGTTTTATAATAAAAAAATACTGAACATTGATTCTGTAATATCAACATATGACTTTATTTAGTATAAACTAATGCAAATTCAATTAAAAATTATGTATAGAAAAGCTATTACATACTTGTCTTCCAGTGTCAGGCATAACGATAAAAACGTATTTAATTCCATTTTTAAATTAATAAAACAGTCTTTTATTACACCACTTCAGTTATTCAGTTAATATCTTTAATGATTTACTTCTTCATATTACAACTTAATTAGGCCAATTTGAAATTCCGTTGCGCCAAAAAAAAATCTCCGTTGCGCAGACAAAAATGTCCATTTTCGCCGGCAACACAATCCTTTACACAACATCAACATTGCAGCTATTTGATTATTTGATATACGATTTAAGGTTTTTAGATATTAATTCGTAAAATAAATTTATTTATTCAAATAACATTGGTGTTTAATTAATTACATATATTAGTACAAACGTTGTGCCGATTTTCCAAAATTATCTCCGTTGCGCCATGAAATTTCCATTTCGCCAGGCATATATAATCCTTCAGTGTAAACATATACAATTTATGAAACATTTTAAAACATACTTACTTAAAAGTGCTAAACAATCATTTTAGATGCTCAAATTCAGCATATTGACTTTAAAAAAGGCGTTGTGTCGGTTTTTTCTAAAAAAAATATCTCCGTTGCGCCATGAAATTTCCATTTCGCCAGGCATATAACCCTTCAGTGCAATTAAACATATACAATTTATCACGGATTTAAATTACATAATGTAATATAAATCCGTGAATTTATGAAACATTTTAAAACATACTTACTTAATAGTGCTAAACAATCATTTAAGATGCTTAAATATAGCACATTGACTTTAAAAAAAAGGCGTTGTGCCGGTTTTTCTAAAAAAATATCTCCGTTGCGCCCGTTGCGCCAAAAAATCTCCGTTGCGTATTTTAGTGGTACCCAACGTCAAGTGTTCCGAGTGAAAACGGAAGCGGTGCATGTAATACCGAATGACACCTTTAAAACGGAAAGAATGAAAGGAATTTTTAACGACTTCCCCGTGCATAAGCTTTGCCTAATTTCATATTAATAATTTTAATATCTCCTCGACTAATTAGTTGGAATACCATATGGGATGCCATGTTAGTTTTAAGGCCAAGCCAGGGCTCGCGCTGGCAGGAGCCAATGAGCAAATTGGCTCCAAAATTATTAAATTGGCTCAAGAAAATCATGATTGGCTCCAACTTACGAAAAGTATAACTTTTGGAATATCCAGTCTAAATTTAGCATTTGCTATTTTAAGACTGGAAAAGTACACATTTGGTTTTCCATTTACAACTTCCGCTTTACCGCTTCTTATCACAAAACACTGCGACACAGTCTCCTTTTTGTGGGGTCATTGACTGGTCTATATTTGTTACTTCCCTTCCAAATAAAATATCATTATAAACAGTAACACAGTCTAATACACTGACCTCATGGTATGTTTACATGTTTATCAGCTGATAAATATGACACTAATTGGTGTGAATTGTTGAATGTGCACTGGATAATTGGTCTTTATATTCAATATGAAACAATAACCAGCGGCATCTTAAAATTATCGCCAATCATATCAACAGCTTGGTTATGAAATGGACGACTTTACGGTAAGTTTGCATTCATATAATTTTATTGTTGTTGATAAAAAGATCAAAGGAATTATGAGTTATAAAATAGAAGTTGTTTTTTTTTAAATTGCAAATTAAATCTGACCTAATAATGGCTCCAAAAAAGCATAAATTTGACAAGGAGTATATTTGACAATTTAGTATTCCTGAAAAAAAAATTGACCTTACTTTGTACATATATCCTCTATCTGGAGCACTCATTTACAAATGGCATACATGGCTGTGAAATGTTTATAGAAAATTCAAGAAGCATACAACATATTTTTAGGAAACTTATGCTAATTACTTTACTCTTATAATGAATAGTTGGCATTTTTTTCCTGAATTAGTTTAGTTTAGAACTTTTCAATATTCTTTTCTTCATTAATAATTATTCTTTTTACTCTCAAATGTTTCTGTTTTTATAATTTCAGATACAGATAGTCCTCAAACCAAATTTTTAGCATTAACCAAGCAAACAGAAGCAGCCCATTGGAATGTGGTTCTGATGTCACTGTCATGCCACTAACTTAGATTTTATGAAAACATTGCTGACCAAATTAGCCTGGAAAATGTTATTCTTATAGCTACTGAGCTGCAAGCTTTTATGATCAGTTTTAAAGTGATTAAAATGTAGCTACCAAAATAAAGTTGGATATACATGTAGATTATGTTTTTTTTTCTAAATATCTCATGCCTTTTTAAGGTGTTTCATATATGAACTAATGCTATAAATAAGTCTGACCATTGAATTCTGGTTATTTTGCAGTACCATTGCCTTCTTGAAAATAAAATACAGGCACGCAATTTTCGCCGCGAAAAATTGGCTCAAAGAAAAAATCTGCCAGTGCTAGCCCTGCAAGCCACCCACCTATTTCTGAAACATGGACATAAATAAGAAGGAATATCGCGCAACAGATGAAAGGAAAGCTTGTGCAAAACTGTCTGTTATAAATCTGACACTGTAAAAAATAAATTTCTCACTGTGTATGTTGATCCAGAACCATCGGTTACTTCCTGGGTATCTGGTATAGAGAAATGCATTTTCGTTGCTTTCTTTAGACAAGTACAAATTGACAACACAAACAGTCATATGAAAAGAACTTTCTATAGTTTACACAATTGTCACATGATTGCATAATTATCACGTAAATAATTTGTTGACATTAAAATTTCAATTAGGAAACTCCCCTTTTCACTGTTTATCTATCTCCTATTCATACATCAAAGAATAAAAAGGGTTCAAGTTGAGAGAAATGAAAGGTCACATTTCGATGTCTTCATTCAAAAAGAGCAATTTTGCTTGAAGGGACTTTCTTTGTAAATAAAACTTAGTTTAAAAAGTTAATTCCTCGTTAAATGTCAGAATCCCCCATCTTGAACGGTGACTGTTATAATAAATACTCATGAGATTTCATAATTAGGTCACAATCCTCTAAATGTAAGATAAAGAGATTAGGTTACAGGAGACTAAATAAAGCCTCTGCCGTTGCAGACGACTAGAAGAGTGGACCGTAGAACATTTTCTCCAAATCACATCTCACTTCCCCTCGGAGCGTGCACGTCGCTGAGAAGGCACAGGGCATCGGCAGAAGATTTACAACTTGGCTGGTAGTCAACTTAAATTTTTCCTTAGGGAACTCCTACTTCGTCACTTCTACGGACCAGCTGCCGATGTCCTGACTAATGCCGAGGGGAGTGGCCCTACAAAGTAGGCTGAGACGACGAGGATGGTGTACTAGGGTGCGTGAGCCCCTAGTACGGATAGACGGCTTTGTAAGGCAGGCCTATAGCTGGCACCAACAGCCCTTTTCAGGGCTAAAAACACCTTTCCTATTGTCACAGGTTACTGTACATTTAGGTTCTCATTGACCGCCGTACAGTGACCTACTTTTCGGCTCAAAATTCATATCTTTGGCTAATACTCCGTGGAAATTGCATGGAGGTAAATTATCACCATTTTGTGCTTCAAAATTAACTCTTTAAGGACATGACTGGTGACATGTCCGGGGTCCGTACTCGACAGCGCAAGCTGCATTTTGTGCCCGAAAGGGCGGATGGACCCTCATTAAGCATTAACTACATACATACATACATACATACATACTTTTCTCCAAATCCCTCTCGAGGCGTTCACTTCACGGAGAAGGCACACGGCAGGTCAAGTAATCTCAAGTACCAGTGATGATTGATTGACCTGTCGTAACTAGCTCGAGAGGATGTCGCTAAGAAGAGCCGTTTTTGTTTTTCTTAAATACTATTGTCGACCTTCCACCAAGGAACGAAGAATAGGCTACAGTGCGACTACTAGAGCGAACCGGCATGGACGCTAATGAATCTCGAACGGATGGTTAATTCCGGCGCAGAGCATAAATTAGCCGTGTCACAACAAAACCAACATAATGGGTTTGCGACCAGCATGGATCCAGACCAGCCTGCGCATCCGCGCAGTCTGATCAGGATCCATGCTGTTCGCTATCAGTTTCTCTAGTTGTTAAAGGGTTGGTAAGCGAACAACATGGATCCTGATCAGACTGCGCGGATGCGCAGGCTGGTCTGGATCCATGCTGGTCGCAAACACATTATGTTGGTTTTGTCGTGACGCGGCTCAATAAACTTGAATACTAACCGGTTAGCTCGAGCGTTGGACTGTAAATCGGGTGATCTGAGTTCGATTCCAGGAGTAAGGACGGTGAAGGTCACTTACGTTGTGATTGATCATGAAATCTTTTCTACGGTCATTCGCCCAGTACATGTACCTCTGCTCTGTCATGTTTAGAAGTTTCAGTTCCTTGCGAAAGTGGAAGCAACAAGTACTGGTAAACTGCTTAATTGACAGCCTGACAAGGAACGATGCGATGGCTGACATGTTCTCTTGTAATGTTCAATGTGGCTTTCTGCCGCGATCCGGAGTGAAAACTACCAACACTACCAACACCGTAGAACATCGGAATCCTTATCCAGAGGTTGTTGGTTCAAAGCCCACGAGTGGTGAGATTCTTTTTGAGCACTCGCGCACGCACGCTACGAATCATTACTATTCAATACGCCTATACGAAACTAATGTTAATACAGTTATGATTGAAATTCTGGTGCAAAAACTAATGATAGTTTTCAAAAAATAAAATGGAATTTTAATGTCATTTTACAAACTTTCTGTAATCTGCAAAAAAGTGAAGTTTTTAGGCCACAAAATTTTTAATGGACCAAAGGTTCCGAATTTATGAGGGCGGGTATAAATGCCCACTATGCTAAATTGCAATGATGAAGAAGAATGATTTCAATTTCGTAAAACAGTGTTGTATCTTGTAGAGATAAAGTGATATTTAATTTATTTAGATTGACAGTAAATATTTCATGTATCATAATTTGGGGACCTTTCTGTTGAAAATGTGTCAGAGATATACATGCACAGTGCGTTAACTGGAGTGCAGGTATTAGTTACCCGCACTCCAGAGCATGCTCATTGATTGGTTCATTTTTGCTGGGGTTTACATATTGTGGCGGCGTGAAAGCGACAGAAATATCATATTCAGATGCTCGTTCATTGGTTACTTTTTTCTGGGGTTTCATATTGTGACAACAGGGACGTGTTTTTATGTTTGACTATGATACAAAAAAGAAAAAGAACATCAAAACACTTGGCAATCTGATTTATACTCGGGGGCTACGCCCCCTCGTACAAATCAGATAGCCTCGTGTTTCGATGCTCTTTCTATTACATGTACCTTAAAGTACAACATTTCATGAACTGATAAGACTTTATGTGTGATTGTGTGGAGGACAAAGCATATACTTGTAAACATTAAAATCATGATATCTATGGTAATTTTTGTCGGACTTTTTAATGGCGTTGCAGGTTCGTTTTGCGTCTACTTTACATAATCATATTTCAATATAATGATAAAAGGAAGTTCGGCTGATTTTCTTTTATTATTGTTGTTGATATATATGCTTCCGTGGGCATGGTGTTACTTTTTCTATTCTTCTCAATTAATTGTTTGTTGTTGTTTTTTTAATTGTTTTTACCGAGACTTAGCCTTGTATTCTTTTCCCATTGTGATACATGTTTCTGTGTTGTTGTTTTTATTGTTGTTGCTGCTGCTGTTGTTTTCCTCTTCTTTTAGCTGTATTTTTTGTTTCCTTTTTTGCCTGTGTAAACAAGAGATAAATATGTTTAAAGGATTGTCAACTACAACATGTTATGATGGATGGCTGGCATTTGAAGGGTCGTGCTATTACTTTGGCTCTCAGACAGTTCACTTTACTGAAGCAGAGGTACCACTACTTTTACAATAATTGCTCCTCTGTATATTATAGAAATATATAGCCATGTTTTTCGTTATAAAGTAACCATCTTATATACATGTATTTATGCGGTAAAGTATGATGGCTGATTTGGTAGGCTTTTGTGCGTCGTGTTGGCGCTAGCGACACCCCGACAAAGCGCATGCCGCTAACGATGCACGCCAAACGGCGCGTTGTCGCGATGTCACATTGTCGCTGGGTTCAAATCGAAGGATTGGCTTATAAGCCAAGCGACAGGGCGACATCGCGACAACGCGCCGTTTGGCGTGCTTCGCTAGAGACAGGACGACAAGACGACAGTGCGACAACGCGCCGTTTGGCGCTTTGTCGTGTTGTCGCTAGCGACAAGACGAAAAGGCGATAACGATATAGGTTGTGTTGTCGCTATCGACAACGCAACGCGCAGTGTACCAAATCAGCAACCATATTATATGCCACTAACAAATATAACAATCATTTTAAAAATGGCTATCTGCCTATCAAAATGTGAATGGTGAGTGGACAGGTAAAAGTCAAAATTACTACATTTTGCCACAACTGTGTTCAATTTTATATATATAAAAAGACTGGGACAGTCTTTTTATAATTTTAGGTAGTTTTCATATTTTATCCTAAACATGTTATATTATTGATAATTATTGGTCAATTACCAATATAATAGTTAATTTCTTGAAATATGTTTCTAATTCAACTCGACAGCGAAAATATGAACACAATGTCACAAATATATCACAAGTTGTTCCGAATAAAGATGCTGATCGTTTTATACCCCCATATTGTTCATAATTTGAGCCGCGTCACGACAAAACCAACATATTGCGTTTGCGACCAGCATCCGCGCAATCTGATCAGAATTCATGCTGTACGCTATCAGTTTCTCTACTTGTAATAGGGTTGGAAAGCGAACAGCATGGATCCTGATCAGACTGCGCGGATGCGCAGGCTGGTCTGGATCCATGCTGGTCGCAAACGCACTATGTTGGTTTTGTCGTGACGCGGCTCACTTTTTTTTTATACTTTTTTACCAGCATTTCTGTAGACAGCATCGCAACAGCCATCTAATACGTGTTGATAATAAACTTGAAAATGCCTTCATCAAAGAGAAATTACGAGACTTCAAACGTGAGTTATTAATAGAAACTTACTCGGTCTTATATATATATGATACATGTTAAACGCTCGTCTTTTCTGAATTGAAAACAGATAAATAGACGATATTCAAGTCTTTTTTTTCTCTATAAATAAAGGATTTATTTTCATCGAGTGGTATGAAAATAAATATTTTACGAGTGGCGGAAGTTAATCATTTCATATCACAAGAATTAAATTTTCCTTGTATGTATATAATAAAAAACTTTAAAAATCTTCTTTTTAAAAACCCAAAGAGCTAGAGCTTAGATATCTAGCATGAAACATCTAATTCTAGTGTGTGTCTAACAAGTTTGTTCAAATAAAAGCCCAAGGGTCAAAATTGGCGCCGCCCCGAGGTGTCATTGATTTTCCTTATATGTATATAGTAACAACTTAATATTCTTCTTTTTTAATTAAGAAGGAAGTAGTCCGACAAGACACCTGTGACAATACGGAAAATATGTTTCACTGCCAAGAAAAACAATTTTTTACAGGGTAAATATGGAAAGCGAAAATACGCATTTTGTTTAATCAATATTTCTTAATAATTAGCGCTAATTAGCGTGTTTTCGCTCCGCCCCCTCCCCCGCCATTTTAACTTGTTAATTTTCGACTTTTCGCCTGGCGGGGTTGCGGGGCGAAAACACGAATGGCACAAATCAGCCACCATACATATCTACCATGCTTGATAATTCATCTAATACATATTATATTAATACAGCGAATACTTGGTGGCTAGGAATGACTGATGAACTGATTGAAGGAACATGGCAATGGTTTGACAACGACCAAATAGCAAATTTTACAGGTTAGTTTCGTCAATATTTATATCTAAAACTCTAGGTCTTTTAACTCCTGAATGATTCATGTTCTCGCATCAAGAGCTGTACGTATGCATGTAAAACATTACTGGTAAAACAAATAAATAGGCCATTTAACATTCCATTTCAAATGCAGAATCTGTTTGTTGTAATTAAGGATGTAACAACGCTTAAGTGAAACTTTATATGTATGTATCTATATAATTATTCTTCTAAAACAATATACAAACATCCCTGGGAGAATATGTTAAATATCTACTGCAAATATCTATACGCATTAATAAGTAATCATTAAAATATATGCATTCATATTTATTTCTTATTGAACAAAAAAAGAAAAATAAATTTCTAATTACCTCCCTTTATTTACATGAAATGTAAATTTGGCAATAACTTTACAAATAATGCTTTTTTGGAACTTACAATATCGATAAATCTTCATTTGAGAATCATATTTATTATGTAAAACTATAAAAAAAAATGAGTTACATGATCTTTAAAGAAAGAGTATATATATAAAATGCTTGTTTATTTCAGATTGGCATCCGGGTCAGCCTGACGCTGTGCCGGAGGATTGTGCTGTGTTTTACAACAGTTTTAACTTTAATTGGGCAGATATAAGCTGTATTAGTAATTACCGTCCGATCTGTGAAGTTCGGTGTGTATATTTTTGAGGGTTCATTCATTAATAACTATTAATTAATGGAAATCATTGCCAATGCATAGATCCCTGAATTGTCCATTTCTGATTATTAGATAAGTGTACAAGAATTTCACCATAACACATTTGTTAACAACAGAGCACATGTCAATGTTTGTGGTTAAATCTATTGTTATTCAATAGAAAGATCCCTACTCTGATTTAATACAATTTTGTATATGATTTAAGTGTAACTAGTACTACATGTATATATAATGGTATTGTTCATACATGTATTTCAACTTTCTGTTTGTATCTATGTTGAATACTACTTAAGTCGGTGCCGTGGGGGGGGGGGGGTTGGGGGTAGGGGCGCAGCTTCGCCACTGTTAAATTGCCGACGACGACGACGAATGGCTTGTCATGAATAGGTTCAATCAAACCAAGAAACAAATCTGCAACATTTTCAATATTTTGCCGTTTTTGGCAGTTCTTTAGGAATTCCATTTTTCTATTTCTATACGTGATAGATATGTGAAATTTTGCCATTTTTTATGAAGGACAAAGTCATTTTCTAACACTCATTATCTTATGCTTGTTTTTTGATTTCTATATTCCAGGGGAGTGCATGGTGAAACAGAAATCATTGGATAAAGTTATTATGCGGCTTTGAAAACATTCATGTTCAGTGTAGAATTAAATTAAATAAATTATATATCAATCGAGAATACTAGTAGACGATGAAGCGCTAAAATTAAAGATATTTATTTTTAGCATGCAGCGACCAGCGACCAGTTGGAGACCAAATAATATTTTGTTCATACGGATTTAATCCGCAAGCAAACCAATACAGTTTTGTTTCTTTTGATCAAAAGAACACAAAGCTTGAAGCCCCATTACGTCTTAGAAAATTTCAAATGCTATATTTCTTATTTTTCAAAACCCTTTTTTTTCTTTGATTTTTACAGTTTCCAGAAAGTATTCATTTGCTATATAAATAACCCGTCTTTTGCTTCGTTGGCAATTGGTTTAATTAAAGCGGATTAGTATTTTGTATCGAAGTCAAAATACTACTTTGTCTACATTTTCATACCTTTATGAGTATGATACATTTTTGGACATTCAGCGCTATTTTCTTCAGTTTTTAAAAATCAAATATGCTCTAAATTTATTTCTTAAACATTACTTACACATATGAGGAAAAAAATGAATTTATGTTAAAACTTTATAAAACTTTGTGTTGGCTATTTTAAAATATAAACTTTGAATTTCTTACGAAGACCAGCTGGGGCACTTGAAACGGAATTACATGCAAAAAAGCAATAAAGGAAAATACTCAGAAACAAATTGAAAATATTTTTTGTGTTTGCAATTCATAGCCCATCTAACAGGGGCGTCTGTGGCCGAGTGGTTAAGGTCGTTGATTTCAAACCACTTGCCCCTCACCGCTGTGGGTTCGAATCCCGACACGGACTTTGGATTCTTTCATGTGAGGAAGCTATCCAACTAGCTTACGGAACGTCGGTTGTTCTACTCAGGTGCCTTTTCGGGCCTGAAATAATGCACGGAAGGGCACCTGAGGTCTTCCCGCACCAGTAAAGCTGGAACGTCGCGATATGACCTATACTGTGTCGATGTGACGTAAAACACCATCAAAACAAATCTACCTGATGTAAGTGAAAAGCGTTGTAACGTTTTTTAATTCTGGTCACAGAATTATCATTTTAGTAAAACGGAATGGGCTTATGATCTGAAATCTATCGCACAAGTTGTTTGTCTTTACCTACATAATACTGAGCAATAATCTCGACACATTATTTTCAGTCCCGCCATGTCACAAAACCTTTGGCAGTGTAGTCCCTTTAAACTATTGTAAATTTTATACTGATAAGATATATTTCCCTGCGTACTTGAAAGTATGTCTCCTTGAGCAGTGTAGTCCCTTTAAAACTACTTTGCTGATAAGATATATGTCCCTGCGTATAAACTTGAAAGTATGTCTTTCAGAACGGTACGAAAGTTAACGGTTCTCTTATACCATACCATCTAAACATATACATGTACATGTATATATATACATGTATATAGATAAAACAAAAATGATTTTTGTAATAATTTTTGTCGGATTGTTATGTGGCATTGCAGGTAAGGCCAAATTCAATTTCTCATGTTTCTTCTGCATCATTTAAACTCGTACATATCTTGTAAACTCGTGCAGCCAAAATAAGAATTATTACAGTGCACGTATTTCCAAAAAGTTCAAAACAAAACAACACACTGTGCATTTCTTTATCCAATTCTTTTTTTTTACATTTCCCCTATAAGGTTCTCTTTGACTAATTCATCTTTCCTTTTTCGGCGCCATATAACCTAAATTATGTTTGTGCGCCGAAAAAAAAACCAAAAAAAAAACCCCAACTTTTTAGCTGATATGTTGTATTTTTGACGCCGCTCTCGTCTTATTTCATTATGATTTTATTTGTGGGCGTTTGGGAACCAGTGGGTTTATGTTTAATTTTTTAAGGATATACGAGTACCAGCTGTTATGACGGATGGCTCGCGTTTGATGGATCGTGCTATTACTTTGGTACCAACGCCATTCATTTCACAGAAGCCGAGGTACATGCATTATTACAGTACAAATGATACATAAGTAGTAAAACACTTAAAAATTAACGATGATTTGTATGTTATAAAGTAAGCAGAAACATTGAGTAGTTGGAGATATTAAAACGGTAAAGGTCAGATTCGACAATGTGTATTACGTAAGAGCATGGGAAATTCCTTATATATGTATTTAACTTATGTTGCATTTAAATTTGTATTTCTGTATGTAATAAAGTTAGTAAATAAGAAACATTGAGTATTTGAATACGTCGAAATTAAAATGGAAAAGGTCAGAGTCAACAATGTGCCAGAGCATGGACAATCAATGCATTACTTGAACTAATGCGGCAATTTTAATTTGTATTTCTACAACTACTGTTTAACTCATTCCTTAGATACGAAGTTTAAATTTGTTTATTCCATGTCTTTTTATACTTTTTGTAAACTCTTTGTAAAAACCCAAAAATTTATTTAGAAAGTAAGTTAGCTTTTTCCATACCGGAACCGGAAGTGCATTGTTATCCTTCGTCATCCGGGCAGTCTGGAAGGACTATATATGGCTCTGATAAACATAAACACATTAAATATTGATAAAGGACGACTGGACAAGTCCATTTTAAAAGTTCAGCAAGTGAAGTGTTAAATAGTTCTTATCTTTCATGTTTGTTTTGTTGCTAGCATTTCTGTAAACAACATGATGGCGGGCATCTTATACATGTAGATAGAAAACTAGAAAATGACTTCATCAAAGACAGACTACGGGCATTTAAATGTGAGTGATTCTTCATGTATATTGTTTTTAAAGATCCTGTATGTTTTAATTGATCTTGTATACCACACTTAAGTGACATTATATATATGTATATAATTATGCTTATAAAACAATTTTCAAACATCAAAGAATATGTAAAATATGCACTGCAAATATTTGTACGTATTATATGTAATCATTAAAATATATGCATTCATTTCTTATTGAAATATTTTACTTAAGACTTTATAGAAAATTAGTTTTTTATTACCTCCCTTTATTTACATGAAATGTTAAATTCGGTAATATCTTTATAAACAATGCTTTTTGGAACTTTCGAAATTGATAAATCTTAATTTGAGCATCAAATTTATAATAAAAAACATAAACAATTTGTGTTACAGGATCTTTAATGCAACTCATCCCCAATATCAATACAAGATAGTATATTTTCTATAAATACAAGATAGTATATTTTCTATAAATACAAGATTGTATATTTTCTTGATACAGGGTGAACTCTAACAAAGTGTATTGAAAGAAAAGCGGAAATTTACAATTACCGTTTATTTTTTAATTGTTCTGTGGGTTTTTGTTGTTGTTGTTGTTTTGTGCATGTTTGTTACACCTCGTCGATTTGTTTAGATTAAATAAGATTTAACTTTATTCTGTTGTGGAACAAATATAATAGATTCATAGTATTGTGTTATTTCTACCAATAGCATTATCTTGATGATGAGATGGAACTAAAAACATGATGAATATAACTCTTGAAAATTGAGGATAGAAATAACGGGTTCATCCCGCATGGACTCGACACAGTGTTGGGATAGTGTAAAAAGTAATTCTAGAAAACAATATATACTGTATATATAATATATAGACTATATATCATATACACAGTATACATTTCTTAATAGAATTACTTTTTAAACTATCCCAACACTGTGTCGAGTCCCTATAGTTCATCCAGCTTGGTTGTTATGGCTTTATACTATAATATAAAATTTGGCAACATCTATGTTAAAAAAAAACAAACATTTTTCCGATTAAAACGTGTCGTTCGGTATTTCATGCAATGCTTCCGTTTTCACTCGGAACACTCGCCGATTATTATTAATCCGAAAAGTTGCAGATGTTCCGCTATCGGAATACTCCGCCTGTTATCATTGTGTTACATTGAAAATGGCGGCGCCCAACTAGAACTGACACAGAAAATTTCATTGATAGATATAGAATTCTTTAATTATTCTTTATTTAATTTCCTTTTACACGTTTAGTCTATAGCCGCGCAAGCCAAAGCTCGGGTCCGCTATGCGGTCCCGACCTTTGAGACTTCCCCGTGTGATTTCTGAATGTATAATTGTAGCACATTCCTGGTGGATGGGTTTGACAGATGAGCTGATTGAAGGCACATGGAAATGGTTAGATAACGGACAAACTGCCAACTTTACAGGTTTGTCACAATCACAATCTTACGGTGTACCGTAAGGGCCACCGCTGTCCCGTATAGGGGCCACCGCTGTCCCGTAAGGGCCATCGCGACACACGCATAACTCGAAACAACGAAAAAACGAAATTAAGAAATTCACCATCGTGATTTCGTTATTTCGCCACCTTAGTGCGGTTTGTGAAATTTTGTGCAGAATTTTCTCGTTCAAATGTATTAAATAGACATTTATTTTTCTGTCGTTGTATCTGGAGTCATGTTTACTTAATTTTGTTTGTGTAAATATATAGTAAGAAGTGTTGTAAGAAGATTCTTGTTTCAAGATGCAACAAACCTGGTATGGGGTGTATATGGGCTATGTTTGTATATGTTCATCTTGTGAAAACATATCACTGTGGTAATTATATTTTTTGATTGAGTAGAACTATTTCCTTTAAAAATATCAAGATGCGGGCTCTCCTACTTAAGTATGTCTACTAGCTTTGCACTTATGCCCTTGCCTTTTTTTAAATCACATCAATCATTTCTAAACACAGACTGGCATCCAGTAGAGCCTAGTGGCGGGGAGGCCGAGGATTGTGCCGTCTTTTACACGGCGTTTGACTTTACATGGGCAGACTTAACTTGCATTTCCAACAATTACCCAATCTGTGAACTTCCGTAAGTGATTTTTTTTACTTGAAGTACATACCGACGCAATATGTTTTTAACTTCACTGAAGCAGGTAAACTATCAAACAAAAAATACCTGATTTTTATTGTTTTCTAACATGATAATTCCTAACTCTTCGTAATTGCAGTTCAAAACAAAACACTGCGAATTAAATATTTGCAATGATTTTTAACTTTGCCATTTAATGTTTCCATAAAATCCATGCACACAAATTCAAGGTACACCTAGACATTATTTTAAAGTTGCAAAAGTTGTCATTCTGTTGAAACGAAGTATATACATGCATAACTGATTTAACTTCATTCCCCACATGGTGGGAATTCTTGAAATGTACAATAATATTTTTGTTTCAGGGGAGTCAGCACCGAGACGGAAATAATAGGATGAAAAAAAAACTGTAATTTTAAAAACAATTTCATTTTAGTAATGAATAACAATTGTTATATAAATAAAATAAAAGAAATAAGTCGTTTTCGTTTTTATTCTGAGTATTCTGAGGCATTGGCTCTGCGAGCCATATAGGATATTCTTGTATTTTAGTTAGCAAAAATAAACCGGCTTTTATAATATATATTATAATAAATATATCTGCTAGGATTGACAAAATACATTTTATTTCAATTTTAAAGCGTTTCTGTGACGCTTATCCTTATAATATACTACATGTATATTATGTTACAGGCAACATATTCAACCAATGCGACCATGTAGCACAGATCTTTAATCAGCTTGCACGTCCGTCTGATCGTGGTCTGCACTTTTCGCACTTTAGTCAATAATTATTTTGAATGATAAATAGTTTTGCCCAAAGTGAAAGATGGACATGTTCAACCAGATATGTAGATGTTATCTATGTCTCTGGTTCAACTAAGGTATTAAGCATGATCAATAATGGTCATCCAAAACCTAAACTTGTGCCCTGCTAAACACTTAAAATTAACAAGTGCTCCACTCTTTTTCATTTTGAACGGTCTGTTATTGTGTCCAAAAGATTTTAATAACATCAATTTTTAGAAACCAGTTTTGGAAAAGGATCAATTATAAAATAGAAAAAGACTCTTTCATGAATGATTTTTGTATTTCAATATATTCCGATAAACGTGACGTACCGTGATATCATAGAACCACGGGCTACTAATTTGAGTCAACAGAGCAGTATTTGGCACGCCGAGACTGGAAGTAGATATGTGCACTGATCCGGTTGCACAGTCATGTTATGCATAACATTTTAAATACCACCATTAACCCATAACCTACACAATGTTTGGAACAGAATCTCAAAACATAAAATCTTAATTTCTTACATACATCAGCTGGGGAATTCAATACAGAAAGATATACAAAAAATAATTAAGAATCATACCCAGAAATAAGTACAAAAAATCGTATATTTGTGCTATTCCTAGCCCAATTCGAGTGAAAAGCGTTGCAACGCTTTACAAGTTTTTGTAATTGTTAACAATTAGAATCATTATTCTGGAAAAACGGAGTGAGCGAATGATCTGAAATTTCGCACTCAAGTAAATGGTTCAGACCTACATTAAACCGAACATTAATCTTGAAAAATTATTTACAGTCCCATCATGTCAAAAAAAACCTCAGTGGAGTCCCTTTAAGACAGGGATTCCAGTCCCGACAGTTACTGAATTCTATTCTGGGACAAAGTGTCCTCTTGTGTTAAAAGCTAATGCACGGATGTACAACTATGGGCATGGGCCTTTGAAATTTTGTTATTTTAATAAACGTACCCACTAACAACCAGTCTTGTCGTTGAAAAAAATGGACAGAACAAACCGCAAAATGATCTTGTCCAGGACGATACTGCACAATCGTGAAAATTGCAGACAGTCCATACTTTCAGAATAAACTGTGATAAATGCAACTTATTTAGAAACTATTTCTTAAATTTATATCAAAGCGAAAACAAGATTTTACTTTTGTTTATCATAGTTGAATAGTTAAAAGCCAAAAAAGCACTTTGAAATGAAAGTATTCTTAAACATTATAAAGAGCTGTTAAGTGTAAAACATCAAGTACGTATACAAAAATATTTGTTAAACTTGAGAAAAACCATGGTGAAATGAGTGAAAAAGGAATGGCAAAGGTCAAGTCCAGTTGTCTCTCTGGGTAATATTACTAATTGTTAAAACAAGCAAGGAATTTCCCAACATTTTAAGAATCGGATATTTCTTCAATTATTTCTTTCTATATTCTCTTTCTTGAGTCAATTATTTGACGTTCGTTTCTATCCTTTATTGGAACGACACAAAAAGCATTTCCTAAACAATTCTCTAGACTCGTGTCTGAACTTGGATTCACAAAATAAGTAAATAATTGGATTAGCAACATTGTTCAAAATGAAACTCCTAAGGAACACTTGATAAGCCATCATTTCACCTTCATTCATATTTTCCAGAAAACCTTCTTTCTCAACTGTTGCTATCATAAGAGCTAGATGGGGAATGAAGGAAACGACAAACACCATGGAAACGGTGAATAACATAAGAGTTACTCGTGCGGTTGTTTTCATATGTTTTGGCCTACTCGTTTTTTGTTTTTCTAGAGATTGTTTTTTCCCTTCAAGCATTTTTCCCATTACTAACCGTTCTGCTGGAGTGAGTGTAGAAAATTTGTTGGTGTTTTGCATACGCGTGTCTTTCACCTTGTTTAGTCTAGTATCCGATGCAGCTCTTGCTAGACGAGGTTTTCTGTTCGAGTTATCTCCCCTTTTGAAGAGTTCACGTGACATTCGCCATAATGACTTTTCCTTTCCTCGTGGCCGTTTTTCATTTACTCCATTTCCGGTGTTTAATGATTGACTGGAGGAACTTTTATTAGTAACATCACTTTCAAGCATTGTCCGTAAATTATTACCATTTTTCACGAATGGTGCTTGTGTATCTTTACTTCCGGTTAGACTAGTCGGATTACTCGTGTAACTTGAATCTATCCCGTCTCCATCTCGGTCACAGTCTGTCGAAAAAGAAGTTTCATGGCTGGTATTACTTGCTGAACGAATTTGCATGTTTCTCATGGCCTGGATAAATTGATCACTTATCCAAAGTTTCCGAATGATAAACGCATACAAAACTAAAAATATAACAATACTTATCACTGATTCAGCCATAAGGACACTTTGGTAGATTTCAAATAATACTTTTTGATCGAGATCGTCATCAACGTAACACTGGCGTCCTGTTACATTCTCTACTCCCGTCTCTATTGTACTTGCACCGTATAACACACCTGCTGGAATGGCTATGAATGCGCTAAAGAAAATAGTTCCATAACATAAATAAAGCGTTTGTCTGGCGGTCAGCTGGGTTTTAAATGGATGGCATATTTTTCGGTATCTCTCGACAGATATCACCAATAGCAGCAAGCCAGAGCTGTTATTCACGACATAATGAATATAACGCATTGATTTGCATAATGCTGATGACGTCATCATGTATGGCAATCGTAGACTGGGCAACAAGAAATGGTAAAAATTCCCAAAAGCGCATGCTATGAAGTCGAGAGCTGCTAGAGAAATAAAATAAAAATAACGGTGATTAGACCTCCTGAACTTTTTCTTATACACCAAAAGCACCAAAATGTTTCCAATACATCCAACAACAATACAAATGGCGACAAAAATTAAGGCGGGGATGTGCAGACGAAACAAATCATCATTGAGTTTTTGTACTGTTACATTGGTACTGTAAACGCCATTTACTTGAGAATACATTATAACACTTCATACACTCTATTGACTTTCTGTGAATAGTCTTTAATATGTTTCTTTTTCAATTTCAAAAATGCCGGCAAGTTATTAAATCCACACGGTCTTGATGTGCACGTGATTTATCCGGAGTATTTCCGGTCAACATCTCCCGGAACTGTGTTTTAAGAAGCAATATTTCGTTACCTTCCCTTTTTCAAATAGTTTTAGTATTCATTTCTTTTATCGCAACAACACTTTGAGTTTTCAGTTTTAGTTTATTATTGTTCACGTCAAATTTATGTTTTTCAAAAGCAATAAATCACTATATTCCAAGAAAATGCACAGAAATTAATACAAATCAATTTCATTGTAAGTGATTGAATGTAAGTGATTGGCAAGTTTCGTAGAATTCAAACATTTAGGTCACATGATTAACAATCCTACACCTACTTCGTTTATTCATACAATAAAATATATATAAATTCTAGGCCGTTGTTAAAGAAGCAAAATAATACATTTGTTCGCAGTATTAAAAGCTGTCTAAAAATAACTGCCGCGTGTCTCCCGTAGATAGTGAAGCGTGAGAAATGTTATGTTATACATTACGCTACAATCGTTTAAAAAGTAATTAATGATGGAACATCCTATTTTGCATGAGGGTCAGGGTGAGCTAGGGTCACTGGTCAACAACCAACATATTAGTTTGTAATGGTCTTAATATGTCGGATATTGACAAATAAGATAATTCATGTAGAATGTTTTTAAGTGGTTATGTCCTCGCGAGATACTTGTTAACCGGAAATGTTCTGTCTTATTTGGTAATGAATTTTATTTGGATTGTTCATCACATGTGCATATTGTCGCATTGGTTATTCATTTGTTTTTCCTTGTATTTGTTTTTCCTTTTATTTGAACCAATTTAACTCAGGATGTGTTATTGGCGTGCTTAATTGTCTACTTATTAATAATATTTTATTGGCAGACATTAAATTGCTTTTTAATAGATACGCCCTCCCAAAGGTTATTTGGGTCGTATCGTGGTATGGTATGGTATGGTGCGCTTTTCCGTCCGTATATCCGCGCGCATTTATATAGGTGTCATTTCGGGATGAATGTACGTGTTTATTCCGTACAGACTGAACCTTTGAAGAAAGAAAGTTCAAAATAGGTTCCTTATTGATTTGAGAGATCAAAAAAAAAAAACAAACAAACAAAAAAAAAAAAAAACATAACAACGACAACTCGGAAAGAACGTACATTTGTCAGTCCGTTTAACCATACTGATGTCCGCTAAAAAAATAATAATAATTAAATGTGCTGTAATCATACTTAGAAGGGAGAGTACTCTTGACCATCTGTAAGTTACTCACTCATATGGATTTTAATGTTTATATGTGGCGACTTCAGTGTTGTTATATTTTTCTGGTTCTTCGAGATCATTGAGTCCAGCACTATTAAGTGTTGAGAATTGAGTACCGCTCAAGCCGGTGCTAGGGGGCGTGAGGGATGTTGCACTTTTTTCATTCTCTCATGCTCAGACTCAATCAAACCGAGTCTGCAATCTTCATGTAATTTTGGTGTTTTAAATGCTTCCGAGGGAACACTTTTTTTCCAGATATTTGGGATAAATTGAACCCTTCGTGTGCATCGAGACATGCGGGGCAGGTCCACAGGTATGAGCCCTAATCTTCTGTAAGGTAAACTTAGATAATTTTTAGGGATTCTAGCAGCGTTGAGGGTTTAGTTGTTTGATAAAGGAAGAAGGAAGGGCGATATGAGAGAGATGTGAGGGCGATATGAGGGAGGTATTAGAGAGGTATTAGGGAGGTATGAGAGAGATATGAAGGAGATATGAGGGAGGTATGAGGGAAGAATTAGAGAGGTATTAGGGAGGTATGAGAGAGTTATGAAGGAGATATGAGGGAGGTATGAGGGACATATAAGAGAGATATGAGGCTGGAATGAGATATACATGAGGGAGATATGAGAGATGGTTATTGCGAACACTGCACTATAACCGACGTATATTTAGCTCAAAGTAAAACCATCCTTTCCATTTCTGTACGACTTACATTCTGATAAGCACCGATTCATTTTGATTCAAAACGGATGCAACCGCCATAAACAGCATGCATTTTGAGATATTAATTAAACACTCGATAGACATAAGCATTTAATAATAAGTTATTCCTTACTAGCGTTAACAATAAAAATATATATTAAAAATATTTAAAAAATGGGGATAATTTGTAGAAATGTAGAAATACTATTACAGGAAATGTCCGCTACGTTATACCTGGTTGGGCGGCTTGCCAGTTTGACTGATCTCACGATCAGTACGGCTTGTTTTAAAGGGACTCCGCTGAGTTTTTTTTACATGACGGGGCTTGAATTTTTTTTCGAGATCTATATTCCTATTAATGTGAGTCTTGACCAATAATTTTTTTGCAAAATTTTTCAGATTATTCGGTCACTTCGTTTTTCCAGAGTAATTAATCTAATCATGAAAAATAATCCAAAATTGAAATAGGTTTACGAAAAGTACACATGTATAATTAGCAATTTATTTACGAGTATTTTTCTAATAATCTTTTGCATATCTTTCTGTTTTGAAGTGTCTCACTTTATCTATGTAAACATCCCAATGTTGCATGGGTTTTTTTCTTATGCTCTTGGACCTCAGCGGAGTTCCTTTAACGTTTCTTGTAGCTTTAATGTGATTTAGCTTATCTTCTCTCGGGATTGACTGATCTACAAAGCTGATTAAATAAATAACTGACAGAAATCAGGTTAATAAAAATATGTAAAGCCAACATAAATGAAACTATTGTTTACGGCCCATCTAAAACCTTTGCATTAGTTTTTCTTTCA